GGGAGCCCGATGCGGGGCTTGATCCCAGGATTCTGGGATCATGACCTGAGCCGAAGGCAGCCGCTTAGCCGACTGAGCCACCCAGGAGCCCTGATAATTTTAAATATATTTTTAAAATAAGGTAACTTTTAAAAGGTGTGTCAAATGTGTCATGAGTATTTCTCATTTCTTAATTACAATCAGGTGATACTGTTTGGTGCTTATTTGTAGCACCCTTGAGACACTGAGCAGTTATCAGTTTGTATGTAAGAGAAACTTGGAAGATGTGACCTCGTGGCTGTCGTGTTCACATGGCTGGGTCCGAGGGAACGTGTTCACATTCACGAGAAGTGTGGGGATACTCAAATATGAATAAGGGAATTAGTCGGCTGGAAGTGCTTTCTCTCTTCAGGTTCTGGATGTCTTGTGCTCTCTCTGTGTCTGCCATGGAGTCGCAGTCCGTTCTAACCAGCATCTCATCTGTGACAACCTGCTGCCAGGAAGAGACCTACTATTACAGACACGTCTTGTGAACCATGTCAGCAGGTAGACTCAGATAGACACTGTCACCAGATAGGTGACGTAACAAGGAATTCATGTTCTGGCTCTGTAGTTAAGGCATCCTGTGGTCTGCTTGTTTTATTAGGATATTTTACATATTACCCCAGTGAACAGTGTAGTTTTTCTATAAGTCGGATGGAATAATAACAGTAATAGGTGAACCAAGCAGGATGTGCTTTTATCACAAGGCTGTAAGCTTTCATAGTCACATTCATATGAGTTTGGCTTATCACTGACCTCTTCAGGAGCAGGCTGACAATTCTTCAGGTATACAGTTATATGTAATTATGTTTTGTGCTTTCTTAGAACATAAGTAAAAACGCTACCCTTTGAAGGAGGCTACTCCTCCTTCAAAGTGGCTACTATGTATAATAAAAAAGTTGAATCAGAATGTCTAAGATATAATAAATTCCATAAAACAATAAAACTACATTTTTGGTTAGATAGCCCTTCCAAGGTATCAGACGTTCCTTGAGTACTGTGTGCCCGCCGCTATTCTCTGTGCTTTCCATGTATCCTACACTGTGTTTGCACTGGGTTCAACCAGTCCAACTAGGTACTATTATACACATTTTAAAGATTAAAATGTTGGACTGGAAATGGAACTCAAGTCTAATGCCAGAGACTGGGCCCTTAAATACCAAGCCACGCTGCCTTCCTTATACCAAGTATTACAATAAAAATAATACAGCTTACCATTAAGAAAATATTCTGCGTGACAGTAATAATTTTGAATATATTGTATCTCGCAGCTATCCAGGAAGTAATCACTACCTTACCCTGTTTTAAACAAAAATGTAGGGTTTGGTGTATATTTCTATATTGTGTTTTTTTAACAGGATTGATTTATGACTTCCTGAATGGCTCTTTATATAACAGACGTGCTGTTTTTGAGTGGTATTTCCTGAGACCTTCACTACTCCTAAGCATTAACATAGAGTCTAAGTCCCTTAGAAATGGAATTCAATACAACTACCTAGAAATTCTTCTGCCCTCAGAGAGGCATTGAGAACAACAAAGCTGCTTATCACCCTGGTTCCTTTACTAATAACATGGCTCTTCAGCCTTGTACCTTACCTGACCCACAGCTTAGTTAGGAAAATGTCTGCACGTCCTGAATTAATGATAACTCCATGAATTCTAAGCGCCCGTTATATTGAGTATCTCACCTTAAACATGATCAATCGTATAAAATATGCTGAAAAGCAATTCAGAAAAAATCATCTTAGGTCCCTGAGGGACACTGCCAAGTAATCGGAAAAGCAGACACCTGCCACTGAATGTTAACCGTAGGCTGGCTGTCACCGCCTACCGCCTCAGTGACTTAGTAATTTTGCAGTACTGAAGGAAAACAGAGATTTAATATGTTGCATTTTGGAGAAACAGGACCGATGTTCGAAATAGACATAAATGAACACAACAGGAGGTTTGTCCAGAGTTTCTCATGTGCTCTTCCTATCTCTTTAAAGCATGAGACCCAATATTTTTCTGGGCGTCAGCGAAGGGTCAGCTCAGTATAAGAAGTGGTATTATGAGCTGATGGTGGACCACACGGAGCCGTTCGTGACCGCTGAAGCCACCCACCTGCGGGTGGGCTGGGCTTCCACCGAAGGGTACTCTCCCTACCCGGGAGGCGGTGAGGAATGGGGTGGAAACGGAGTTGGAGACGATCTCTTTTCCTACGGATTCGACGGCCTTCATCTCTGGTCAGGTCAGCACCATCTGCATCTTCCCCTGCGTGTGCGAAGGAAATTTGTTGCCCTCTGTCTGTGTTTCCAAAAGCTAACTGCGCTACGTATATTCAGATACATTTATTCTTCAGAAATTTACCACGGAAACGATGAGTGAGAATGTTAAGTAAAAAGCAGAATTTCACTATGGGAAAAACAAAACTGTTACAATTATGGTACATTTCCAAAAGACTGTATTGTTGATGAACAGTATGTTTGAAAAGTGGCATCTTGATTCATAATAAACTGCAAAAACAAAAACAAAAACAAAACACACCAAATTTGTGTGTTTCCTACTTACTTGAACAGGTGTGTGTGAAACTTTAGCTTCCAATATAAACACCAAAAAGCAGATCCTGGAAAATAATTGGAAGAAATAGATTAAGTTCCATCTCCTGGTAGATAACGTAACATTGGGAATTGGTCATTTGTGATGTGTATTGTGAGGTGTCAGTTTATTATCAGATGACACTTTATGTGGAACTGTTTAAAAGTAAGTGTGTAGTTCATTTCACCAGCCATCAACCTGAACTTTGATAGTTGAGTATATATTAAGGATGAGTGATAGATGTAAAAATCATATCCTTTTCTCCAATTTAATAGAAGGTGCATTTTAGTTGGCTCCATTTAAAAGCTTAGTTCTTTTTTTTTTCTTTTTAATTTTATTTTATTATGTTATGTTAGTCACCATACAGTACATCATTAGTTTTTGATGTAATGATCCATGCTTCATTGTTTTCATATAACACCCAGTGCTCCATGCAGTACGTGCCCTCTTTAATACTCATCACTGGGCTAACCCATCCCCCCACCCCTCTCCCCTCTGACACCCTCAGTTTGTTTCTCAGAGTCCATAATCTCGATGTAGCTGTTTCTTAGAAACTGGAATTCATCTGGATTCTGCAGACATATGCTTGTACTCATAAAACTGCTTTAGAATACAGTTTTCATATTATTTTGTAACATATTAAGGATAGAGAAAATATGGAAAATATATGTATTTTTACATATAAAAAGCTGAAATCTGTCTCTTAGGGGGTACAAGAGATATTTGTTAATGTTTTAGAGGTCTGGTAGCTTATGATCATTTTAAAAGTTAAATTGAATTAAATCTAAGAGTTTAGTAATGGGTTTATAAATAAAAGCACTTCATGTCGTTGTATTTTATCATTAATATTCACCGAATTTTTCCTTTATTCAGTGCTAGTAGCTAAGTAGTCAGGAAGAGATGAGGCTCCATTTTGGATATTTCATCTAGGCACGGGGACATGTAGTTGGGGTCCAGGTAGGAGGGTGGTGTGTCTTATACACGCTGTACTCTTCTGGCCAGACCAGAGTCAGAGAGCCTGTTCCCACAGTACAGTTTTCCTACTGACTGAACAAAGGCAAGGAGCACTAACATCAGAAAGCCCAACAAACGTCAAGTAGAGGTGTAATGTCTCTCTTTATAATACATATTAATTCCCACCCTTCAGATTTTACTGTCTCCTCTCTTTACTTCCTACTATGGCCCCACATGCCATGGCTATTCAAGTGAATGAATGAAACATGTTAACTTGTTTTCCCATTACACAGAGATGAGGGGGAAGATTACTCTGATAGAATAATGCTGAATTGCCTCTAATTATTTTAACCGTACCATACCACTTTGTTTTCATTTTTGCATTTAATTTGAAGCTTTTTCTTTCAACTCACTAAAAGAACCCAACAGTCATGGAGTTGACCTGTATGCATTACACTTTTTATTACAAGGTATTTATTAAATAAAACAGTTAAGAATGAAAACAACAAAAATACTCAGTGAATCTATGAATATATCTCAGAGAGGAGGATAGGTTGTGGAATTCAGGAGAAAATCATTTGAAACTTTATATCAGGAGAAAATACTCAGCTGTATTTTTTTTTTTTTTTTAATGGCAAGAAAGTATGTACCGTGTCTTGCCTATAGTTGAAGGTGTGGTCTCTCAAGCTACTGGGGTCTGTCAGTCAGACAACAAAAAGAAATAAGTGGCATCCAAATTTTTTGGTAAGAAAGAAGTAAAACTTTCACTATTTGCAGTTGACATGATACTATATATAGAAAACCTGAAAGACTCCACCAAAAAGCTGCGAGAACTGATACAGGAATTCAGTAAAGTAGCAGGGTACAAAATCAGTGTGCAGAAATCTGTTGCATTTCTATACACCAATAATGAAGCAGCAGAACGAGAGAATAAGAAAACAATCCCTTTTACAATTACACCAAAACCGTAACATACTTAGGAATAAACCAAAGAGGTGAAAGACCTGTACTCTGAAAACTATAAAACACTGATGAAAGAAACTGAAGATGACACAAAAATATGGAAAGACATTCCATGTTCATGGATTAGAAGAGCAAATATTGTTAAAATGTCTATACTACACAAAACAAGCTACATATCTAATACAATCCCTAGCAAATGCCAATAGCACTAGAACGAAAAAATCCTAAAATTTATATGGAACCAGAAAAGACTCCAAATTGCCAAAAACAATTTTGAAGAAGAAAAGCAAAGCTGGTGGCATCACGATTCCGAACTTCAAGCTCTATTACAAAGCTGTAGTAATCAAGACAGTATGGTACTGGCACAAAAATAGACACAAAGATCAATAGAATGGAATTGAAAAAAACAAATAAATCCACAATTATATGACCAATTAATCTTTGACAAAGCAGGAAAGAATATTTGATGGGAAAAAGACAGTCCTTTCAACAGATAGTGTTGGGAAAATTGGACAGCAACATGGAAAAGAATGAAACTGGACCACTTCCTTTTACCATACACAAAATAAATTCAGAATGGATGAAAGACCTAATGTGAGACCTGAAACCATAAAAATACTGGAAGAGGACACAGGCAGTAATTTCTCTGACATTGGCCTTATTAAATGCTTTCCTAGTTTTAGATTCATAGTCAACAAAGACAAAGCTAAATCAGTTGGCTTTTGACTGATTTACCAAGGTCAGAGTCATAGTAATTCAGATAATTTTCTTGGGGGTCACTCTTCTGTTCTTTTTCTTTTTAATAAAGTAGAATTTAAATTTGTGATTTCTGGTATAGAGCACATTCTTTACCACTTAATCTGCTGTAATTTAAGGGTGGTGATGTTTTTTGGAACAAGAACTGGGCTCATGAGCACAAGTTTTGAGCTTTGTCTTCACTTATTCTTTCCAATTTAAACTTTGCACGGTGTTGCTACATTGTCCTCTCTGCGAATGCAGAACTGGATTTTGGGCATCCAAGTTCCAAGTGTTTGTAAGGGAGGGCCAAAAGTGTGAAAAATCTTGGTGCTTTGAGAGCATTTAAATATGGAAGTGTGGAAGAATGTCCTAGAACAGTAGAATAGAAAGATGGGTACAGATTTCTAATCCAGGAATGATAAATCACACTGCTGCTGTCTTACTTTTTTTTTTTTTTTAAGATTTTACTTATTTATTTGACAGAGATAGAGATAGCGAGAGCAGGAACACAAGCAGCGGGTGTGGGAGAGGGAGAGCAGGCTTCCCACCGAGCAGAGAGCCCGATGCGGGGCTCGGTCCCAGGACCCTGGGATCATGACCTGAGCCAAAGGCAGACGCTTAATGAGTGAGCCACCCAGGCACCCTGCTGCTGTCTTCCTTTATGGCTAGTACAGAGAACAGGAATGTAGTTGTCATCTGGATGTGATAGGTTTGCATAAATGTGACCTGAAAATGCTTCTAAGTGGATTCAACGGTACACACATACCACTGAAACTGTGGTCCTGAGGTTGTTCACTAGTGATTCTCTCTGTCTTAGCTGTTTGTTTCAGGCATCACAAGAGAGTTTGCCATGGTGGTTTTTAGTCCTTAGCATTAGCATCATAATATCCCTCAGACTGAGCAATATATTTGGAGTATGTAAATATCTGTATAATAACATTTTTATTAGCTATAGTTCTTGATACAAACAAGGGTATAGACCTTTTTATGTGAGTTGCATTGCTTTTATATGATTTTTTTAAAAAGCCATCTTTATTCAGGGAATTTTAGAAGTACTACTTGATAATGAATTTATTGCTTGCAGATTTGAATATTGATAAAATAAAACATTGACACATTTTAAAAAGTAGATATGCTCTACCACTGGCATTTCAGATATGCTGTTGGTAAAAATTTTGGCATGCTAGAAATTTTAAAAAGGTCTTATAAAAATGCAAATCTTGTATCGTGAAATCTATCTCTGTCTTTGCTCAAATTGAGAAATTTTGTATGCATTTGTGAGCATGTGTTTGAGAGAGCCTTACCTTCATGTCTTCCAGTGTGTCCACAGAGACTAATTAGCAAAGGAGTTTTGACATAGTCAAGAATGAGCATAGGCCACAGGTTGGCCGGGGCAAGAAATGACATTTATCAAATAATCCTTGTCACGCCTCAACTCGTATCCTGCTGTTCTCAGGAAGCCAACCAAGATCTTGTGTGAAATAAACTGTAAAGCAAACCAGTTGGCATGCACTTGCCTCTTAGCAAACAATGCACGAATGAACACATTTTCTGCTTTCCTTATCCCTATTATTTTTATTTTATAAAACAAAGGGGACTGAATATTTGGAAAGGGTCCTGACATGCAAGTCCCGCTGTGTCCGAGACTCTGTGTTCTTTTAAACCATTAATTTAATCATCATAATGACTCTGCAAGGTGATGGCATTTGGCTTCCAAGAAATCAAGGTTTAGAGAAGTTATGTAATTTGCTGATGGTCATACAAGTAGTAGGTGGTAAAGCATCTGTTGGAACTCAAGTCTCTCCCTCAAGATTTCTCTCTGACATCATTATATTATCAGCTTCAGCTGATTTGTACATCAGATGCCATCCTTCTCCAAGCAGAAGTTCCTCTGCATATCAGAAGGTCCATTTTACAATAAAGAGAGCAGCATGGCTCCTGAAAAAAAAAAAACAAAAAAAAAACAAAACAGTTTTTGGACAAAGGATTTAACATATAGCATTAATATGCATTCAAGATTTATTCTCTTCCAGTATTGTGCATTGATTTGTCAGTACCTACTCAGATCTTTGCCTCTGAAGATGATTCTGTGAGGAAAAAAAAAATCACCGTCCTTACTGTTTTTCCTCTATAGGCTGTATTGCTCGTACTGTAAGCTCACCAAACCAGCATCTGCTGAGAACTGATGACGTCATCAGTTGCTGTCTAGATCTGAGTGCCCCGAGCATCTCGTTCCGAATTAACGGACAACCTGTTCAAGGAATGTTTGAGAATTTCAACATTGATGGCCTCTTCTTTCCAGTTGTTAGTTTCTCTGCAGGAATAAAGTTAGTATTTCTATGTGTTGTGGTCTGTGTCCCTTCTGACTTCTTATACTTTCAAAGAAGACTTGGCACTGCCATGCCCCATGCACTGCTAACCTTCTACCTCACTCCTGGGCATCTGTGCCCAGGGCATTTCTTTGGAGGAGGAGGTAAGATTCACCCAAGAGAGGCATCTTGGGAGGCTGAATACTTTGTCCACCTGTTCTAGCATTTAGACGGGGCAGTCTGCTAACCCTACCCCAAATCTGTGTCCTGAAATATTTCAAGCCCATTTCAGTTTACTTCTTTATTTGATAAGGGAAATGAACAACACTGCATAAGAAAATACCACCTTTTCCTTGTATTTCATTAATTTTCCTTTTCTTGTCATCATATTTCCCCACCCCACTCCAAACCTCCTCTCTTTACAGAAACTGAATGGATTTTTTTTTTGTTGGTCTTCATCAGGTCAAGATATCTCCTCTCTGTGTTACCCTCTATCTGTTGTACTTGTAAATTATCTGCTGTGAACAGCTGGGTCAGGAGGGTTTCCTCTAACCTTTTGCTTTCTTGATGTTACCAGATGGAAATAGATGAATGATAATTCTTTTGAGTTCTACAAAGAGAACTTTTTTTTTTTTAAAGATTTATTTATTTGACACAGAGAGAGACAGACAGCGAGAGAGGGAACACAAGCAGGGGGAGTGGGAGGGGGAGAAGCAGGCTTCCCGCTGAGCAGGGAGCCCGATGCGGGGCTCAATCCCAGGACCCTGGGATCGTGACCTGAGCCGAAGGCAGATGCTTAACCGACTGAGCCACCCAGGCGCCCCGAGAACTCTTTTTTTTTGAAGATTTTATTTACTTGAGAGAGAATGAGAGGGGGGAGGGTCAGAGGGAGAAGCAGATTCCCCGCTGAGCAGGGAGCCCCATGTGGGACTCGATCCTGGGACTCCAGGATCATGACCTGAGCCAAAGGCAGTTGCTTAACCAACTGAGCCACCCAGGCACCCCTACAAAGAGAACTTTAACAAGCGATGGTCTGTTGTGATAAGGGACTACGCTGTCACCTATGAAAATATGTGTATAGCTACCTCACGAGAGTGGCTCTCTTTTATTAAGACTGGCCATGAAGTTATTCTGGTTATTTTTCCCATTATAATTCTATTCATACGAATAATTCATGGTTATAGAAGCACCATATTGAAGAGGGGACAGAGAAAGCATGAAGTATTAGCTCTCCATGCACCAATGACCTTTTCTGTTCTGTTCATACAAATTGTATTTCTTTCTATAAGCTTCTGGAATGTTCTAAAATTTTTTGTTTTTCTCATTTTTTTTTTAAAGATTTTATTTATTTATTTGACAGAGAGAAACATAGCGAGAAGGGAACACAAGCGGGGGGAGTAGGAGAGGGAGAAGCAGGCTTCCCGCGGAGCAGGGAGCCCGATGTGGGGCTCGATCCCAGGACCCTGAGATCATGACCTGAGCCGAAGGCAGACGCTTCACCAACTGAGCCACCCAGGCGCCCCTGTTTTTCTCGTTTTTTGCTCTTTGCTTTTTATTTTATTTGCTTTATTATTATTGCTATTATTTTTGGCCTGAAAATGAACCACAAATTAGAAAAAGAATTGCAACGAAAGTGAGAATCTGATTTTATTTTTGTAAAAGCGAAGGGCCCATGAAATCAGTATTGTTTAGCTGTGTTTCAGAAAGCATTGTTCAATGGAACTTGTTTTAAATTATTTTTAATTAAAGGACTTTGATATATAAAAGGTTTTAGTAACGGTTTTTCTGGGGTTTTTTTTTTTGTCTTCGAAGAAGAAATAAGGTGACCTTTCTTCCGCAAAGAAAGTATCATTTGAGTTCCCTTTAAGGAATTTTACTGGGAAGTTGGACATTGGCAAGTGACTGTTATTTCTTTTTATCAGACCTCACGCAGTCCTGTAATTTTAAGTATATAGATATTTATATAATCTTTGCTCTTTCTCTGTTGACTCTTTGGGCCCCTGGAGACATTAAATGACCAATTACTGTGCACGGGTATTAGGTATTTCTCCTATAGGAATATGATGCATGTGCTTTTGCTATTTCTCCAGTGAGTGATAAGTTTTCTTGGATCCATCAATGTAATGTCATCAGCTTGTCCTCTCATCCTGTTTTACCTTTTGTGCTTAGAGGCTCTTAGACTCCAAGGTGCCCACACTCTGATGGTACTCAGGGGAAAGTGTGGCTTCTGATAAAGTTAATTTTGTGCTAATCATTTATTCCATGTGTTTTGTTGATTGGGGAACTTTCAGTATACCAGAGCTATACCTGACCCTGACATGCATCCTTTTTAGGGTACGCTTTCTGCTCGGGGGGAGACACGGAGAATTTAAATTCCTCCCACCACCTGGGTATGCTCCTTGTTATGAAGCTGTTCTGCCGAAAGAAAAGTTGAAAGTGGAGCACAGCCGAGAGTACAAACAAGAAAGAACTTACACACGAGACCTCCTGGGCCCCACAGTCTCCCTGACGCAGGCCGCCTTCACGCCGATCCCTGTGGATACCAGTCAGGTACCCAGAGCACCTACTGTCGTCCTCTTGTGCTGTTGTTCTGATGGGCAGTGGCTTTTGGACTCTTTTAACCATGGCCCGAGGAACACATCTGACAGTCATACAGTTTATATGCAGAATCAAAGTTTCGTAAAATAATGCTTACCTTTGTCAGAGCCACTCACCTATTTTGTAGTCAATTCTATTCTGTTTTTTAAAGAGTTATCTCAAGCCACTACACTGATTTCATGATGTACTGATGTGGGTCACAATTGGAGGTAATGCATACTAATTTTAGGGTGCACTTTTTACATACGGTGGACGTGGAGTTTAGTTCTTCAGTCACCTAGATACACTATTATTTTGAAGCAATTTAACTGACCTTTATCTTAAGTAGAGATTGAGATCCTGCACTCTATAGTCAGAGTGCTTGGGGTCAATTGCCTACTTGGGGACCTTGAGGAAGTCGCTCCTCTTGTGAATTGGGATGCTAAGAGTATGTTTGACAGAGTTAATAAATAACACATTAGCACGATACTTTGCAAACAGGCACCCGAGAAATGTGAGTCCTTATTCTTTTCTGTTTCATAGATGTGAACACATCTTGACATTGACAATGAATTAAATAATTGCTTTATCTTGATGCTAAAGTAACTTCAGTAAGGTTGGTTATGCAAGTTTGTTTGTGAAGATCCATGAGATTGCCTCTAAAGTCTGAAGTAGAGTTAATACCAGGCCTCAGAAGGTTCAGTTGTTGAGCAAATACTTGTTTAGCGCCTTGAATCCTGTTTTCTGTCTCATCATGCTGACCTTTAAATTATTGAGTGCAAGAAGCAAGCTTTGTTCATGGCTAAAATTCAGTGTGGTGTTCCTTGCTGCAGGATGGCAGGATATGTGTGGTGCTACCAAAGTTTAGTCGTAAACATCCATCCAGGGATGGATGATTGGATTATGCAGTGGGAGCGCATTGAGAATTTCCTATGACAGATTATCTCCATCGTTGTGGGGAAAGGGAACAGTGATAGCCTGCTCCCTGGGGAAACTGTCTCATCAGTGAACGTTGTAGGCAGTCACCTGCTCTATGTTTGTGGAGGGACTGGCTCTGGGGTGACACCTAAGTGCATTGCCACACACCAACAACCAACCCCTGACCTTGAAAACCATTCATGTTCTTTATGAAGAGGTCATTAAACTTCCTCTTTGGAATGAGAACATATAAAGATTGTTTTCCCTAGAAGCTTATTCTTGGAAACCATTAGAAATAACAGAGCAGAGTCAAGGGAAAAGCATAGATCACTGCAAATATTTACAGGCTCAAAGAGCCAGTGGATTATCCTTTGGTCACTGAATTGCCTTCATTCTGGCCTATGTGTAATGGCCAGTTAGTTTAAGAACTTTGGGGTGATTTCTCTTTTTAAGTGATGCACGCTCTGGTGCTTATATCCCACATCCATGAAGGCATTGTTCTTAATGGTGACTGTCCCCACCAACACCCGTCCTTCTTCGCAACTTTGTTCATAAATTCACTTGGAAACTAAGCTGTCCCACCAAAAAGTCCCCAAATTACCTAAACAATTTTTAGATATACTTCGTTATATTTTTATAACTACATTAGAAGGGTTGGAATCTAGTTATATTATTAACATTTTAATGGTTTACAGTGGTTTTATTTGTCTCAATTCACAGGGAGGACAGTTAGCATGGTTTTATTGCATTTGTTTCTGATGTGTGTTTTCTTTCTTATTTTAGATCGTGTTACCTCCTCACCTAGAGAGAATAAGAGAAAAACTGGCCGAGAATATCCATGAACTCTGGGTTATGAATAAAATTGAACTTGGTTGGCAGTATGGTCCGGTACATAATCTTGAAATTTATTTTCAGATTTGTTAATACATCTTTCTAAAAACATAACCTTTTCTCACTCATCCTGCTATGTGGTGACCTGAATCAATTAGATTGATTTTTTTTTCCCCTACACATTAGTTTTTGTTCAGTTTTTCTTTATAAGAGGGAATGACATTATGGTCGTGTTCGTTGAAGGATGGCTCAGTTGCCTAGACAATTGAAAAGTTGTCATTCTTGAGGCTGAGAGTTATATTTTTAAATCAAAGTTAACATATACAGACAATAGGCATTGACTTCTAAGCCCCTGAGAAAAAAAAATCTCATTGAAGTTGAAAGTGAAAGCTGAAAATGGAAAGAAATTAGTCATTTTCCTTTTCCTTTATCTGATGCTTCGCTTTTTTTAGTCTTAACTGTGTGTAGCAGTCAGTACAAGTCCTGTGGGCCGAGGGCCGCGGTTGGTTTCGTAGGTGGAAGACAGGCTGAGATACAATGATTGGATATATTTCCAAATTATTATTTAAAGATCTAAGGGGGCACCTGGATGGCTCAATTGGTTAAGCATCTGACTCTTGATTTCAGGTCAGGTCATGATCTCAGGGTCGTGGGATCAAGCCCCACGTCGGGCTCCATGCTCAGCAGGGAGTTTGCTTGAAGTTCTATCTCTTCCCTCTCCCTCTGTCCCCCCCTCCCCGACACCGCACCATGCTTGCTCTCTCACTGTCTCTCAAATAAATAAATAAATAAAATCTTCAAAAAAAATAAAGATCTTAGTTTACGGTTTGTCAATAAAATTTTTTTTTTTTTAAAGATTTTATTTATTTATTTGATAGAGAGAGACAGCGAGAGAGAGAACACAAGCGGGGGGAGTAGGAGAGGGAGAAGCAGGCTTCCCGCGGAGCAGGGAGCCCAATGTGGGGCTTGATCCCAGGACCCTGGGATCATGACCTGAGCCGAAGGCAGACGCTTCACCAACTGAGCCACCCAGGCGCCCCAATAAAATTTATATTAAAAAATTTCCTATGTAATTCAGTGTATCATATACCTATTTTTGGCAGGACTGTGGCAATACTTTTATTTTTATAATATTATTAGTCTAGGTATCCCAAAATTTATAACACTTTCTTATATTTGACTGAATGTAGAAATGAGTGCATTCACCCTGTCATAGTTTATTGCATTGAGCTTTAAATAAAGAACATTTTTTATTAGTGTTAGTGGTGAATACCATGTGATACCCCACACTACTTCCTCATGTTTATATATTAATTTAGAGCTTCCCATTTTCACATACACTCTCTCAGATTATTGGGTTAAATTTTCATAATAGCAGACAGGGCTGTTATTTCAGTTTTGCTGGTGATGACATCTCTGAGAGTTGGGCCTTGACAGTCGCAGAGCTCATGAGGAGCTAGGACTGGGATCCAGATTTTCTAGCTTTTACTCTAGAACTGTTTTCACTGTAAGACTTGCCAATGCTCTTAGAGTGGCTGAGGTAGGAGACGGCAAGAGTTTCACAAATGTGTGCCTGGCAGTGGGGAAGGGGAAACATGATTGCGAGACATGTTTTAGAGTTCACGTTTGGGGTGTGGGGAATAGAGGGAGGAAAATCTGCACAAGTTTCTGGTTTTTGCTTGGACACCTGAGAGGACAGTGGTGTCCGTGATTCTCCCATGTAGAGAAGAGAGGCAAAGTGGACATTACATAAATGGGGAGTAGATTATTTCAGGACTTGGACACCTTCATTTATACTTTGATGTTTAGAATTCAGAGTGAGATTTTGTAATTCTATATTTCATGTATGCATCTACCCATTTAATTAAGTATGTATGATACATGCTTTTGTGTAAGTCCTGTTCAATTGTAAAGATCACCAGGAAGAAGAAATAATATGTTATTTTTAACTTAGCGATGACCTGAAGAGTTTTAAAAAGTTCTTGCAGGGCGCCTGGGTGGCTCAGTCGTTAAGCGTCTGCCTTCAGCTCAGGTCATGGTCCCAGGGTCCTGGGATCAAGCCCCACATCAGGCTCCCTGCTCAGTGGGAAGCTTGCTTCTCTCTTCCCCACGTCCCCACTTGTGTTCCCTCTCTCTCTGTCTAATAAATAAATAAAATCTTTAAAAAAAATAAAAAAATAAGAAATAAAAAAGTCCTTGCTTAGGTTTGTGTACTTTTTAGGTGGCATTTCTAGAACCTGGAAATTATTCTCATGGAGTAATTTTGTACCCCAACAGCACATGGCTGTCATCTAGGCTACCACATGGTAACACCTGTGTCATTTAGGACTCCAAGAAGATAATCTATCTACTAGTGCAAGGATCTAGAACATCTTTCTCATTAATTCATTCCTAAAATCTTGGATTTTGTTTACTCTGAATGGCTAATACACACTTTCAAGGATTAGTATGAAAAGGCTAACTGATTTTGTTAAGGTAAAGGAATAATTTGCAATATCTGCAAGTTACAGTGGGTGAAATGCACAGCTGGAACCCCTGCAAAGACTTTAGATCAGTCACATTGTCGATGGATATCTCTAGTCTGTTTGGCTCTAAACACATAAAATTACTACACATTAAAACTAAGTCAACACTACACCTTTCTTACGTAGACTTCATTTCAATACATGAAACATTTGTTGAGTGCCTACCATGTATTAGGCATGTTCTAGGTGCTGGGAATACATCAAAGAAGAAAAGAGAACAAAATCCCTCTTTTCTATGGTCTTACATTTTAGTGCCTGCAGATAGACCCTAAACCAGTAAGTGTCTGGTTCTGCCAGCAGGTGGAATTTGTTACGGAAGAAAATGAAAGTGTAGGGTGAGTGGGCAGTTGGCCATATTGGGAAGGGGGACAGGATGAACCTGGTTGAGGAAGTAAGATTTAAGCAAATGCTGGAGGGGCTGGGGGGTGAGCATGTGGGTGTCAGGGTAGAGCAGGCATGGGCCCTGGGGCCAGGAATTGTACCGAACAGAACGGGGCCCAGATAATGCCAGGTTTTACCACTGACCGCAAACGTTAGCGCGCCTGGGGCTTAACAGGGACAGCTTTGCTAGGGTGATAAGCTGAACCTTCCCCTTCATTTTCCTGCCATGCAGTTGGATTGCCATTGCTGGTGTCTGAAATTGGAGATTTTTATTATAAGGATTTCTGTCCTGTTTCAGGTTAGAGATGACAATAAGCGACAACACCCATGTCTGGTGGAATTCTCCAAGCTGCCTGAACAGGAACGCAATTACAACTTACAGATGTCGCTTGAGACCCTGAAGTGAGTTTCTTACCTTTTCCTATTTTCTGATCTGCCTGACCTGAAACAAACAAGGTATCAATACACTTTAATTCAGTTAGAATTAAATTAATTAACTCAGAACTTTTCATAATCACAGGTGGATTGGATCAATATTTGTTGGGAATTAGACTTTTGACCCTGCTATTTTATGTCTTTATGCTTTATAAAGTATTTACCAAAGAGTGTTTTATGGATATTTTGGGTATTACAGAATACGAGGGTTTTGTGATCAGGTACAGTGCTATTTGCTGTGTGGGCCAGGGACCAGGTCTGTTCACAAATTGCTTTTGATTTGTGACAACATAAGTAAAGATACTAAGTGTTGAGAAACTTTTATACCAATTTAAGGGAACAATTTTATGTCTTACTGTATCTCATAATTTATAAATTGTAGGCTTATATTTTATATGTCTTCATTTAAAAATTTTAATTTTCTCTAACAAGTTTTATTGTATTTTATCAGAGAATCAGACCACAATAGGCTGGAAATTAAAAGAAAATTGGCCCTTCATCACAGATAGTTTGAGAAACACTGCTCTAATATATTTTAAAGATGCTGAGTTAAAACAATTGTTTATTTTACTGATGGATTTTTTAGTGCTGTGAATCTCTAAAATGGAATGGAATCCATTTACCACCCTTTTTTTTTTTCTTCCAGAGAGTACCTTGTTTTTACCATACCATCTTATTTTTGGGGGGAGGGGGGGGCGCGTTTGCCTGCCCGAGGAATGATCGCATGTTGAAAAAAGCTGCCTTAGGCAATTTGCATGTTATCTTTAAAGGCAGATTTGCTTTTCAGTGACACTGTCAATTGTGTTCAGGAAATTTGCCACTTACCATTGCAAATGAAAGAATGAGGTAGGGTAAAATAAAGGAAGGAAAGTAATTTTAAATTTTAATATAAAAAGTTTATAAAAGGGGTGCCTAGATGGCGCAGTCAGTTCAGCATCTGACTCTTGATTTTGGCTCAGGTCATGATCTCAGGACCTGGAGCCTGCATAAGATTCTCTCCCTCTCCGTCTGCCCCTCCTCTTGCTCTCTCTCCCTCTCAAAAGAAAAGAAAAGTTCAGAAAATATTTTTAAGAAGACTATAATGTTTCTTTAATTCCTTTTCTATCCTTGGTGGCCTCTAGAACCAGATTTATTCAAATAGGTCACTTACCCTAATGCATGTTTGTATTAGGCTTATATACTTGTGAACATTTTTGTTTGTTTCAGTTTTGTTAAAAGAGTAAGGAGTTACTTCCTTGAAGTGATTTTACCAAGGACCCAGATCATAAAACTTCATCATTGTGTCAAACTCTAGGTTTTGGGTTCAGGGGTATTTCTTCAAAGATGTGATTGTAATAATCATTACGGAAATTAACATATTGGGCATAGAGTGAGTTTAGGTTCTACTAGTAATTTAAAAGGAAAGGGAAATATATACAAATCAAGTAAATTGAGAACCTCCCAGAGATAAAAATTGACAGAGCTTGCCTGTGATGAAGAATGCATAATGCATGGCTATGACCTGTGTACCTTGTGTTTAGGATCCCCTGCCTCCCTTTGTATTCTTGATGAGGAGCTTGTACATTTCAATAAGTGATTCACAGCAGCTCACCATTTGCTCATCTTATACAACGAAATGTTTTATTGAAAGGTCATGGTCTAAGATAATTTAGTTAAATTTGTAGTACATTCCCTATAATTTTAGTGATTGACAACTAAGCCAGCTATTGTAAAGGACAGATCCCAGGAAGCAATGAAGTGGAGAAAACTCTGTATTTGCATAGTGTGTGGAGTCTGACTGCATGTAATCTGATCTCATTCCTAAGAGGGACCGGGGGCTGGTTTGATCAATCATCACACTGCATGTACCCTGGTGCTGTAGCCCATGGTCAATGCTAATGACCTTTTCCATGAGCTAATCCTCAATATTTTATGATTTTACAATGAGCTGATTTAACCTATTTCTTTAAAATTTAAATTAGAACAAGGAGAACCCCTACTTCTCCAAAATTCACACTTAGCCCAATCTCCCTAGTTGAGAGTAAGCATGGTAGTTTCTTTCTGTATTTCCATTAGAACCTTGTTTACTTGGTAGCCCCCAGAGCAGCGTAAGTAAGAACACAGGCTCTGGTGTTAGATGGTATGGGGTCAAGGACTTGCTGCTCCAAAGGGTGTCTTAGATTTTCCGAACCTTAGATTTTCTTCCATCCGTAAAGTGGGGGTCATGGTGTATCTGCTTCATGGAATTGTGGTGGGGACTAAATGATAATGCTGATCAAGCTTTGAACACCGTATGTCTGACACACCCCATAAAAGTATCATGGGAAGGGGACACCTGGGTGGCTCAGTCAGTTAAGCTTCTGCCTTCAGCTCAGGTCATGATCCCAGGGTCCTGGGATTGAGCCCCATGTCAGGCTCCCTGCTCAGCGGGGAGCCTGCTTCTCCCTCTCCTTCTGCCTGCCGCTCCCCCTGCTTCTGCACTCTCTCTCTCCCTCCATCTCTCTCTCTCTCCCCCCCCACAAATAAATAAATAAAATCTATAAAAAAATTCATGGGAAGGATCAAAACTTTATTCACTTGGATTCTGAGGAGTGCCAAGTAACAAATAAGCAAAAGCTTACTCCAGAATATCCCTTATTTTGGATTGAAGGGTGATTTCATGTGAATATGAATTTTAGATGCTCTTTCTGTGATTTTTTTTTTGTCACATAAATTGTTGGGAAAGACAGCTTCAGATTTGCTGGCCATCTGTGTATTGCAGAGCCCTGCAAAACTTCCAGCACCCTCTCTCAGGACAACCCAGTGCTTACAGCATGCCTGTCAGCCCACCCCCAATTTAACCAGTGTCACTAAAGTTTTAATTTCTGCTTTACTTAAGTAATTTCTGAATTCCAGATCTTAACTTTTGAATAAATGACTTATGTTTAGGAAATGAATGTTACAAGGATTCTTAATATCTCATATACTTTCATAGAATCTTTCTTCGGAAGTTAACAAAAATAGAGCAAGACTAGAACAATATTTTTCTTCTGGTCAAGTAGTTTTTTTCCTTAAAATTGATTTTGGGAAATGCAATGTGTTTGTATATATATGTAGGGAGGGATGGGAGGCATAAGGACACAGGGACACCAAGGAGAGCAATAGGGAAGGGAGAAAAGTAGTTAAGGAAGAGGCATGATTTTTGTCTAAAAGAGAAAGTTTATTTAGGTAATTTTATAGCTTCGGTCAGTTCTTGATCTATCCATAGTTATGCAGGTTAACGCTTGGAGGGTAATCTCACAGGGTCATCTTCATTTTGACATGTATAACCTAAAATTTAATGTGATAACAGTGTATGTATAAATACATGCAGCTCTATCTACTTATACCATCTGTCTATCTGTCTCCAGATTTTCATTTTTCAGATGTTGTGGAGGATGAGTGTAAGTGAATTGTAGATACTTGCCATATCCCTACTGGAACTGACTAGACCCTAGAAATTCTGTAACCCAAAAAGGATAAGCCATTGTATCTTATTCGAGAAACCACTCCTTGTCATGGATAGTATAAACTTGTTCCATATAAACCTGGAGGACTCTAAAGGGAGTGCATGTGAATTGTAAGGATCTTTCTTGGGAAAAATCAACCGAAGGTCATTCAGGGGAGGAAAAAAATAGAGTATCTTAAAAAATGGACAAGTAAGTTCCTGGCAAACAGGGACCCTGATATGTCATTTGAAAATGAGATTTGTTTCTAGACTAGAAAGTCCCTAAAGGATTAAAAACATATGGGGAATTTGTATCTAATGAAGGTTGCATTTCAAACCAGGGGTAAAAGATGGATTATTTAGTAAATATTTTATGGAGAATAGATATCCGTCTGGAAAAAAAAATAAAGTTAAGCTTTCCTTAAGCTAATAGAATCCCTTCCCCATCACTCCCTCACAGGAAAGCATGGACATTTTCCTTTAAATGATTTGACAAGTGGGGAATTTCTGAGTGCCATATAAAACCCAAAAGCCGTAAGAAAAGATGTAAAATTTTGGTTACATAAAAACAGATTTGGAATTCTGCTCGGAGATAATAATATAAAGGAAGTAAAAAGACAAACTAGAGAAAAATATTTGCAACTCAATCTCAGACACAGGAAGAGCTTCTAAAATGCAATTAAAAACCCATATCTAATGGGAAGTTGAACAAAGAATGTTTTCACAGAAAAAAAATAAATACAGATACCAAGCATATGAAAAAGGTGCTCAAATACACTTATTTTAAGAAAAATACATGGGTGCCTGGCTTGCTCAGTTGGTGGAGTGTGCAACTCTTGATCTTGGGATTACAAGTGCAAGCCCCATGTTGGATGTAGAGATTATGTAAAAATAAAATCTTAAAAAAAATACAAACTAAAATGATGAGATACCTTTTCTCTCTGTCTCTCTTTTTTTAAAGATTTTATTTAGTTGTCAGAGCGAGAGAGCACAAGCAGGGGTAGTGGCAGGCAGAGGGAGAAGCAGGCTCCCTGTTGAGCAAGGAGCCTGATGTGGGACTTGATCCCAGGATCTGGGATCAGGACTTGAGGTGAAGGCAGTCGCTTAACTGACTGAGCCACCCAGGTGTCCCTAATGAGATACCTTTTTTTTTTTCCTATTTATTTATTTATTTTTGATGCCTTTTGAACCTACCAGTTGACCAAGTGTAAGCAGTTTGAGAACTGTATGGGAAGCAGGTAATGTCATACATGGCTGGTAGGAATGTAAATTACCACCGACTCTGTAGATATTTGACAGTATTTGTGAATCTTTAAAATGTATAATACCCTATGACCCAGTAATTCCATGTCTAGGAATTTTTAACCTACAGATGAAGGATATAGTACATGTATTAAAGGTATGAAGTTATTCATTGCAGCATTGTTTGTAATAACAGAAGCCTATGAACAAAGAACTGGGTAAAAACATTATGACACATCCAACTAATGGAATACTTCAGAGCTGTTGAAAAATAAACCAGCTTTATATGAAAGAACAGTATATCAGAGTTATGCTATAAGGTCAAGATGGAAAATTGCAGAGAACTCTCTCTTGATATGTACCCATTGTGTAAAAGGGGGAAAGAGAAACAATATACATGCCCTTGTGCATGCTCACACACACACATAAACTTGTGTTAGTAATTTCACAGATTAGAGCAGGATATTCAAGAATCAGTAGCAATCAGTGCCTTTAGGAAAAGAAAACAGGACTACAGGGAGGGGATTGGAGAAAGACTTACTCTTCAATATATTGCTCTTTGTGATATTTCAATTTTCAGTGACTTACTCATTACTCAGAAGTAAATGATTTATAAATAAATGTTTTTCCTTTGCTTTAAAGGCAATTTCTGCTCTGCTTTCAAGGTGGACTGTTACACCTGATTCCCCTCCGCCATTATGTTGGGTTATTCTGGAGGTAGAGAAGGAGTTCTTGCAGCTTATCTCTGGTTTTGTTTTCCAGGACTTTGCTGGCATTAGGATGTCATGTGGGCATATCAGATGAACATGCTGAAGAAAAGGTGAAAAAAATGAAGCTGCCCAAGAAGTAAGTTGAATGCCTAAGCAATATTAAATAGCCTGTGCATTGATTCAATCATGCAATCAATTACTTGGGTGCAAATGGATTGGACCTCTTGATGGATACCTAGATGACTTGCCCTGAGAGGAGACAAAACTCAGAAAATATTGGGAGTATGTTATAAAAAGTGTGTTATTTTTCTTGAATGTAGGTATGTGTGAACACACCGGTGCCCATATCCCTAACTGCTTATATCTAGTTTTCCACTTCACACCAAAAGATATTTTTATAATTTAATTTGATTTTTTGAAGATTTATTTATTTGAGAAAGAGAGAGAATGCAAGTGGGGGGAGGGGCAGAGGAGAGGGAGAGAGAGAAACTTAGCAGTCTCCACGCCCATTGTGGAGCCTGACACGGGGCTTGATCTCACAACCCTGAGATCACAACCTGAGCTGAAACCAAGAGTCAGATGCTTAACTGACTGCACCACCCAGGCACCCCTAATTTAATTTTTACCAAAAGAACATATTTTAGGAAGAGTTATAAAGTTGGTATTATTATCCCCACTTTAAGATGAGTAAACTAAGGCCATGAAGCTATAGGGGTGATTTTTGCCTGCTGGGCTATAGCCTCTGTCCGTGAGCCTGTTGAACCTCTCAAAACTTCAGCTTTCTCAGCTGCTAACAGGTGATACCTTTTTCATGGGGAAACGTTTGGTATTAAATGAGTAAGTTCTGGATGAATGATTGCTGTTTCATGTTATTATGTTTGTTTTAATTTCCAAGGCCTATGCTTTATAAATGGCAGGTCTGGCCATGTGTTAAGTAATATGAGGATAAAGCAAAGCAGCCACCCCATACTCTCCATCGATCACCCTGACCTCAAGTTACCCCTGATAAACATAAAATCAAAATAGAAATCGTGAGCTTTCTCTGCAGATGCCAGTTCATGCCAGTAGTTCAACAAAAACTGTTACTCAGGTATTCCGTTAAAAAATGTGTAAAAGCTATGTTACTATGTAGCATATTTTTAAGTTCTAAAAGTTTTCTTCAAAAGTTTAAGCACTTCCATTGGATGCTATTTTAGGGCATTTTCACGTATTTACATTTTGAAATGACACTTCTTTGTCAGTTTTGAGAATCACTAATAAAAGCAGATCCTCAGTGATTAGATATGTACCATCATCTATTTAAAACTATATATAAATGTTGATAATATGTTTTTTGCATCATTTTGTTTTTCTCTTTGAATTGTATTTCCAATCCATTTCCTTCACAAAATGTTACCCTATTAAATATATTTTGATTGATCCCTCTGATCATACTTCTTTATAACCAAATCTAAATTGAGTTTTGTTTTGTTTTCTGTGATCACAGTCAGTAAATGTTGACATTTTCTTCTGACATATCATAATTAATTGGGTATACAGGTCTTCAACATAAATTCATTTTTGATAAAAATCAATGTAAAAAGTAAGATTTTATTGGAAATAGTGCATAATGAAATGGATTCAGCTGTTTTTCCATTTATATCATATACCCATGTATAAGCATTTATTGATAGAAAGACAAGTTCTGGGTCATTTGCATTCTTTGTTTACATAAATAAATACATTTTTATTAAAAAATTCAGTTCAAAGAAAAAAATCTGTTGAAAGAATGATAGAAAAAAAATCATTCAGTTCAATGAACTGGAACTTAATAGTGGTTCATCCTCAGAAATCATATTTGATGACCTATCACATGATGACTCAGTCATGTCCTTCCTTGTTCAGTTTTTTAAAAGCAAAAAATTAGAAACTGCCTTACTTGGGAAAGAATTTATTATCTTCTTATTAAAGTCACTCACTATCTCAGTTTTTTGGTAATTATATCATAAAGGCATTATTAAAATGAGAAACAACAACAAAAACTAGTAGTTATATCTGCTACTCATTCACTTAGAGGTGCTATACCTGATGTACATAAGGATAAGAAGATGGAAATACTAATTTCAGATTACTTTTGCCAGCATAATATATTTAAGAAACTATTATTATCATGTGCTATGTGTGTGTGTTTGTGTGAGTGTGTATGTCTTGTCAAAACTTTGGGGCAAAGTAGTCACTCTGAAAAGTATGAAATCTGTATGATTCCATCTATATGACATTCTGGAAGAGACAACACGATAGAGTCAGTAAAAATATCAGTGGTTGCCAGGAGTTGGGAGGTAGGAAGAGATGAATGGTCAGAGCACAGGGATTTTCAGGACAGTGAAAATATTTTGTATGACACTGTAATGACTAGATAATGTCATTTTACATTTATCAAAACCCATGAAATGTACAACACCTAATGTAAGCCAGGGGTGATGATAATGGATAATGGATGATAATGATGTCTCAATGTAGGTTCATGAATTGTAACAAATGTACCACTTTGCTTGGAGAATGTTGATAATGGGGAAAGCTTTGTGTGTGGAGGCAGAGGATATCTCTGTATCTTCTTCTCAATTCTGCTGTGAACATAAAACTGCTCCAAAAAATAGTCTTAAAAAAATAAACAACCCCCCCCTTGGGGTCAGAATTTAGCTTATTCAGTTTATGGAATTCATTTGCCATAAAACCTAATTAGTAAAACCAGTTTTCACTGTGAAAACCATCAGTTTAAATAGAATTATTTTTGGTCAGAAAATGTCAGGCTTCTTTTTTCTGTTGAAATAAATGGGTTGATGTATGTTTCTGTAATAGCCACCTCAATTCAGATTTATCTCTAAATCTGAGATAAATAGAAACCAAATGATTGATCAATGTATACATAGAGCATAGGGTTTGCAATAAGTTAGTCTTGTTGAGGGATGGATTAAACTTCTCTGCCTTCATAATTTTTTACTGATGTCTTTTATTTGTGTTGCTTTTAGTAGTTCTGCATTACTTGAAAATAGATGGGGGAAATGGACACTAAAAGGACACCATTAAATGGAAACTATTCACCTGCTGGCAGTCTATACTACATCTCAATTTTCCATGAGATACCATCTTATTATTTATTGGCAAAAATTAAGAAATTTGATAATAACAAGGATTGATGTGGATGTAGATTCACACAAGTCTAAAAGGTTGGAATGTATTTACAGTCATTTTTAAAGCAGTTTGGCGTAATTGTATAAAATTAAACATTTGCACATCTTCTTACCCAGCAGTCACTCCTAGAGATATGCCCTAGAGAAAGTCCACACCAACAAACATGAAAGCCATTGTTTTTAGAAATATTATTTTTAATGGCATAAAAATAAGGGAGAGGAATAGGAGAAATATTTTTCAGTAGGAAGATGGATTAAGTTGGATATAATCACATAATAAAATGAATGAATTTTAGTCATAAATGGCAACATAGATGAACCTAAAAAATAATGTTGAGGTCAGAAAAGAATATATCCCACAAGGCTATATAAAGTATAATACTATCTTTAAGACTGAAAAACAAAACATTTATATATGATATGTATATATGTGTGTATATATATATATGAGGAGCACACAGATACAGTTGTATTAATAATATTCTAATTCTTAACGTGGTGGATTAATGGAATTCACTCTATTATAATGCTTTAAAGCATATTCTTTTGTATCAAGAATAGTTTTTTTTTAAATTTTATTATGTTAATCACCATACATTACATCATTTGTTTTTGATGTAGTGTCCCATGATTCATTGTTTGCATATAACACCCAGTGCTCATTATAACACATGCCCTCCTTAATACCCACCCCCCGGCTACCCCGTCCCCCCACCTGCCTCCCCTCCAAAACCCTCAGTTTGTTTCCCAGAGTCCATAGTCTCTCATGGTTCATCTCCCCCTCCGATTTCCCCCCCTTCATTTTATCCTTCCTTCCATCTTCTTTTTTTTAACATATAATGTATGATTTGTTTTAGAGGTACAGGTCTGTGATTCAACAGTCTTACACAATTCACAGCGCTCACCATAGCACATACCCTCCCCAATGTCTATCACCCAGCCACCCCATCCCTCTACCCCCCACCACTCCAAAAACCCTCAGTTTGTTTCCTGAGATTAAGAATTTCTCATATCAGTGAGATCATATGATACATGTCTTTCTCTGATTGACTTATTTCGCTCAGCATAATACCGTCCAGTTCCATCCACATCGTTGCAAATGGCAAGATTTCATTCCTTTTGATGGCTGCATAATATTCCATTGTATATATATACCACATCTTCTTTATCCATTCATCTGTCAATGGACATCTTGGCTCTTTCCATAGTTTGGCTATTGTGGACATTGCTGCTATAAACATTGGGGTACACATACCCCTTCAGATCACTACATTTGTATCTTTGGGGTAAATACCCAGTGGTGTACTTGCTGGGTCGTATAGTAGCTCTGTTTTCAACTTTTTGAGGAACCTCAAGAATAGTTATTTTGAAAAATAAAAATATGACAGTGAAAATCCAAGTCCATCAATAGTCACAATAAAGGCAAATGGATTTATTTTTTCAGGTAAGATACAGAGATTGTCAGATTGGATTCAAAAAGATAACTCATGTTGTACACACTCCACAAAAATAAAACCCAGCTATGTGAAGACACATCAATAAATTTAGAAAAATGGAACTACTCTATGATCCAGATATTGCACTACTAGGTATTTACCCAAAGAATACAAAAATGCTGATTCTGAGGGATACATGCACCCTAATGTTTATAGCAGCATTATCTATAATAGCCAAATTATAGAAATAGCCCAAGTGTCCATCAACTGATGAATGGATAAGGAAGATGTGGTGTGTATATACAATGGAATGTTACTCAGCCATAAAAAAGAATGAAATCTTGCCATTTGCCAGAACATGGATAGAACTAGAGTGTATTATGCTAAGTGAAATAAGTCAAAGAAAGACAAATACCATATGATTTCACTCATATGTGGAATTTAAGAAAGAAAACAAATGAGCAAAGGGAAAAGGAGAGAGAGAAACCAAGAAACAGACTCTTAACTATAGAGAACAAACAGATGGTTAC